AGGTTTTGCTCTATTACGGGTAAACCTAGGATGCTGCAGATGCTGTACATTCAGACCGTCTGTGCGTGGTGAAGAGCCACATCCTGCTCGAGGTGGGGCTGCATGCAACTCCAGTGATGGAGTTGTAACTGAACACAGCGGATCTAGGGGTGCACCCCCGAAAAAAAGCCGGGCATCCTCAGAACAAGCCCGTGATGACTGATGATGGTGATGTGGGTTAATCAAGATGTAACAGATTCCGGAACTATGGGAGCACCATCTGTCATCTTACCGTTTTATTTACTGTATGTGGGAACATCTACTGATGAAGTAGCTATCAAGAGAGCCATTCTAGTGGCGCAGGTGGCTCACGTGTCACATAGCCAACAGAAAAGAAACATGATGAATAGTTCTTACAGCACTAGGGTATCAGCCCCTACTTTTGTTTCTGGACGAGAAGGTGGTAATGATTTCACCAACTTAAATCTGAATGGAAGGTTGGTGAATGATGAGCCTAATCAACCTGAAACACCCAACAGCATAAACGAAAACAACAAAAAAAGTTTATTTTCATGTACCGACATTACCTGGGTAGGCACTCTTAACACTAGAACGATAAGAACTACCCAGAGGAAACTGGAGATGGTACATCTTTTCGAGAAGAGTGGCGCAGAGATTGTAGGTATCCAAGAGCACAGGATAGTTCATGAAGAGCCTGTCAGAGTAGAGAGAGTTGGCAAGAGCAGCTATCTAATTACTTCATCAGCTACTAGGAATAGGGCCCAGGCATCAGTGGGCGGAGTGGGATTCATCCTAACAAGCAAGGCATTTGACGCAACTACGGAGATAACACCAGTGACGGAGAGAATCCTTAAGATATCTCTCAATGGGAATCCTAAACCAACCTTCGTCTGTGTCTATGGACCTACGGAGGCAGATAGTGTAGAAGCAGCAGAAAAGTTTCATAACGATCTAAGGTGTGCAGTCTCGCAGATCCCTGCTCACAACTTCTTGGAGGTGATTGGGGATTTTAACGCTCACCTATCAAAGAGGGACGAGAATGACTGTGGTTGGTATTTCCATGAGAGAACCAACAGAAATGGGGAGCTGCTTCGGGATACTGCCCTGGAATGTAATCTGGAGATTACAAACACCAGGTTCAGAAAGAAGCGGGGTAAGATGTGGACTCACCTATCGGATGGAACCCTGAATAAGTCTCAGATAGACTTTATTCTAGTGAGGAAGAAGTGGAGGAACAGTATCAAAGACACTGAAGTCTACAGTTTCTTTAGTACATTGGGTACTGATCATAGATTTGTTTTGTCTAAGATCAAGCTATCTCTTCGACGAGCAAAAAAGCAACCCAAGAAAACCTGGTATAATTGGGGAGCACTAAAATCGGATGAAGACCTACAGAAGAGATATGCAGTAGAAGTCAAGAATCGGTACTCTGCTTTATGCGAGCAAACCGATGAAAGTGAGGTTACGGAACTGTATGGGCATTTTGTTGATGCGATTGCTGATACCAACAAAGCCATACTGCCTAAGAGAGAAAAGAAGAGACGTGACGATTTCGCGGGTGATCAGCGAGTTCAAAACGTGCGTACAGCGTTGCAGCAAGCAGAGACTGTCTATCACCGGGATCCTAGTGAAGACAGTCGACTGTCTGTTAACGTACTTAAAACTGAACTGGATCAGGTGTACCAGGACATCTTTGAAGAAGATCTAGTTGCCAAGGTTAGAAGGGTCGAAATGGCTGCAGACAGATGCAAAAATAAAGAAAGTTGGAATGTCATGAATGAGATTACTGGTAGGAAGGCCAAGGGGGCAACTCAAATAAGGGGCAACGGAGCCGAAGAGAGGAAGGAAAATTGGCTTAGGCATTTCACGAATCTGTTAGGGAGTACACCTGATGTGGAAAACGAACATCCTAGGATCGAGACTCAATTTGAAGGACTCAACATCAGTACAGAACCTTTTACTCTAGAGGAGCTCCAAGCTGCCAAACTCAGGATTAAAGAAGGTAAAGCACCAGGTGATGATGGTATACCACCTGAAGTCCTCAAAAGATGCGACCTGGATGAAATCGTGTTGTCCTTCTGCAACAAAGCCCTGACAGATGGTATTGCGCCAGATCAGTGGAGGATAAGCAACATCATTCCGGTCCCCAAAAAGGGAGACTTGACAAACCCTGGAAACTGGAGGGGGATATCTTTGACTTCACTTGTAGCAAAGACTCTTAATAGAATGGTGCTTAATAGGATCCAGCCGGCTATAGAAGGGGTACTTAGGGACACTCAGAATGGCTTTCGGGAAGGACGGTCCACTACTAGTCATATCTTGGCACTCAGAAGGATACTAGAGGGGGCTAGACAGAGAAATCTACCGGCAGCTATGGTGTTTGTTGATTTTAAGAAGGCCTTTGATTCACTTCACCGGGGAATTTTGATGCAAATACTAAAGGCCTATGGGATACCAGACAGTATTGTGGATATAATTAATCTACTCTATGTCAACACGAAGGGCAAAGTTATTACACCTGATGGGGATACTGAGCTATTTGATATCCTGGCAGGAGTTCTTCAAGGGGATACGTTAGCACCATACTTGTTCATTGTAGCCCTTGACTATTGCATGAGACAAGCCTTAAGCAAGCACCCTGAAATAGGATTTACCATTAAGCCTTATAGGAGTAGGAGAGTTAAGGCGGAGAAGATATCAGACACTGGTTTTGCAGATGACATTGCTCTGATAGCAGATACTGTAAAGGAGGCAGAGACGCTGATGCTAGAGGTAGAAAGGGTTGCTGCTACAGTTGGACTTAGAATGAATGAAGGGAAAACCAAATTCATTACTCAGAACATCGAGAACCCTGATACCATCAAGTCCCTGGGTAACAGTACAATAGAGCATGTGGAAGACTTCACCTATCTGGGTTCTAGAATCAGAGACAGTGAGAGTGATATCAGGGTTAGGAAAGAAAGAGCATGGGGAGCATGCCACACACTCAAAAAACTTTGGAATTCTAAGCTTAGAAAGTCTATCAAGATCAGAGTGTTTACAGCACTAGTGGAGTCGGTGCTACTGTACGGTTCCGAGACTTGGACAATGACGAAAAGGCTAGAGAAGATGGTTGATGGTTGCTATACGCGAATGTTAAGAATGGCCCTTAACATCAATCAATATCGAGACCATGTCAGCAACCACAGCCTGTACGGTGATCTTCCCAAAGTCAGCTCCAAGATAACCCAACGAAGGCTCAGACTTGCAGGTCATGCTCACCGAAATCCGGAGCTGACACTGAACAAACTGATCCTCTGGAAGCCGAGTCATGGGCATACTAACAGGGGGCGACCTCATTTAACACTGCTAGATAACCTAAAAGCAGATACTGGGCTGAAGTCAGTAGATGAGATAGCTAAACTGATGGAGGACAGAAAGCTGTGGAGAACTGTTGTCAATGGATCTCGGGAATACCACCCGCCTTAAGTCAAGTCATGCTTCCTTATACTATGTGTTTTCATTATTGATTTTTATATATAATTTCTAATGCCCTAATGAACCAACAATTATTTATTCAAAACACAAAACAGACCCAGAGTATTCAATACTGTAAGTGTAACTTTACAACATTAGATTTCAGCACATCGTGTGTATACCTTAATTCCCAAAAATTTGGGCGACAAAAAATTTGAGCGGGCCTCTCGCCCAAATTTTTTGCAGACCAAATAAATTGCATAAATCTTTTCCGTCTGCTAAATTTTTTGCTAACCAAACTTTTGGCATTTAGCCTGTGGCCCTGAGATCTATAGAAAGATGGCTTTTTCTTCATATCCAAGTGAAATAATATTTGAAATTTTAGTTTTCTAATCTGTCATTCATGGCTTAACCAAGTGAAATGACAGATTTCACTAAAAATGAACGATTTTTAGTGGAAAATCGTTCATTTGTCGAAGAATTTGTGCCCAAATTTTTGGTCGCCCAAATGAGTTCAAATTTTCTGCCCAAATTTTTCGGGCTCAAATAAATTGTGCTCAATATAATGGCACACAAATTTTTGGGAACTAAGGTATTTATAAACTATAAGCTGACATTCCTGCAAACTATGTTATGATCTAACTACATATAACTATATATAAATCTAATCAAGACTAAACTAAAGTGACTCAATTTCAATCTGTTGAGGGCCGTGGATTACGTTCCACTTCCATCTTGGAGAGTTATTCAGTTGAAGAGTTATTAATTTTGTTTTTTAATCGAATGTTGATTATATTTAAAAGTCGCTGCATTATCAACTTGCCATCTGATAATAAAAATAATAAACTCTCTGGGAATATTTTTGGGAAGAAAAATTGTTATCTATATGTTTTTTTTTCTTCTTGATTTTAAAAAGTAATTCTTCTTTCCGTTGTAACGTCATGAAAAACGTTTGAGTTTAACACTAACCATGGTTGTGAGACGTGGGTATATCGATCGTATCTCTAATCTCATTGTGATTGTACAATGTACACCAAGTACACAAATCTAATAGAACGAATAGCGGCCGATTGTGCGAAAAAGTGCAGTATCAGGTCAATATTGCGATTCCGCACCGTCCGCACTTAAATGTTGCCTCTGCCCATCAGTTGTAAGGCAGATAAAATTAAATATTAAGTAGAAACTTTCTCCAAACTTTCCTTTTCCAACATAGCAACATATTCGTCTACTGGAGACTAACTTTTTCAGTTTGTTCTTTATTTGTTCTACTTCTAGTACCTATAAATACGCCGCACTAGCGGCATGTGTGATTAATTTAGAATTTTTATCGAAGCAACAATCGATACGTTCTGGATAGGGTATATCGGTTGTCAGAGTATGTTACTTGTACAATGCATGAATGGTGTTTGAACCATGGAAGTCGTAAAAACCCGTCACTGACTCGACTTTATCACAAATTTACGTTGATTATGATTATGAAATTGAAATTTTTCCATATTATGCCCATTGAAAATGTATGAAATTTACATTTTATAGCAGTTAGCAGTTAGCAATTTCGTTAAAGGGGCTGACTCTGGTTTGGGGAGCTGATGATAACATGGTTACCATGGTTACTGACTTTACAAGTTATAACAGTTCACTCTGTCACCCAACCTAACATTGTAATAATGGTCGCTGATGATCTAGGTTCGTGAAACACGCATGAAAAGTACTTGAATTAATTCATTGATTTGTCACTTAAGCTGTACAGTGATTCCAGATAGGATTTAAGTTTTATCCAAAACAGCTGAAAATCTCCAAATGGAACCTATTTCAAATGCGGACTATTCAGAGATACAGATTTTTAGATTCTGCTGTCTTTGAGAGCCATGCTCTGCAGCCAAGAACAGTGCAGCCAAGAACAGTGCTGCGATTTTATTTCCTTATCGCTTTTTCTCTCCAGTTCAAGTTGAGGGCCTTTATAGCATTTAGCAACATCCTATTATATATTATAACACATCAGTACTCTTCTTTAAAAGTTTAAAGACTCTGTTATACTAGCTATTAGTATTCATGGTATTGATATTTGCCCGTTTCCTAAACCGGTGCTCGGTTGTGATTAGTGATTAGTCGTATGTGATTATATCAAACGTGTTAATATGTGGTCAATACCTTAGTTCCCAAAAATTTGTGTGCCATTATATTGAGCACAATTTATTTGAGCCCGAAAAATTTGGGCAGAAAATTTGAACTCATTTGGGCGACCGAAAATTTGGGCACAAATTCTTCGAAAAATGAAAGATTTTCCACTAAAATTTCAGTTACATATTTGTTCATTATTATTCCTTATTATTCCAGTCATTTTGCTTTCAATTTTAAGCATGTAGGTGGTAGTCTGAGTTGTTTCACATTATGAAATTTACGATCTGCCCAGTAACTACTAAAAAATACAGTGATGATGGCACAGTACAAAATGATAGATATACAATAGTGATATTTAGTCTCTCAATCAGATAGTTTAGTCTACTTACACTCAGCATATCTTATCATACCCCTTTCACGTACAATTATCATTATGACGCCTCACCAGATGGTCGAAAGGTTTGACCAGTGTCCAGTTCTTTGAGAAAACCCTTCTTCCCCACATAGAATCAGTTAGAGCCTCCATCAACAACCCTGAGCAGAAAGCGCTACTGATATCAGATGTGTTTCGGGCCCAACACACACAGACACTAAAAGATCTGATGACAGCCAACAACTGCATCCTACAAAAAGTTCCAGCTAATATGACCCATCATCTACAGCCCCTGGACATATCTATCAATGGACTGGCTAAGAAATTCATGCGCAATAAGTACGAAGATTGGTACGCGAAAAACATAGTTAGTCTGGTCAGTTATGGACAAAATCAGATCAAAATCTGCATTTCATAGTAGAGGGCTGAAAATTTTTTTGGGGGTTCTCAAAGGTCTTTAGAACCGAAAAAACTTCGGAGCCCTAAAATTCAGACTGGGAAAATCGCCCATTTGGCCACGCCCATTTTTGGTACCAAAATGTCCAGGCGCAATCTGAGTGAAATATATATAACGTCATTCCTAACATGTTAGGGGTCTAAATCTATGTATTTTTGCACGACGAATCGATTGGCAAGGTTCTTAAAGCTCTAAAACACTTATTTTTTGCAAAACACTGAATAAATAGTATTTTACGCACCAACTTTTCAGTCGCGAATGATAAAAATCGTTCAAAATCGATTTCCTGACATGTTAGGTGTCTAAACCCATGAATTTTGCACGACGAGTTGATTGGGAAGAAAATTCAAGCCCTAAAACACTTCTATTTAGTGGAAAAATGAAGAAATCGTGTTTTATTTGTCCCAATTTTGAAATCAGAATTAATTCAAAAATGTTCAAAATTGAATAGGGGGAAAATCCGTTGAATTTGAAAGGCAATAAGGATTTAGCAACGGAATGTGGTATTTAGGACCCCTACGAATATATTTAGACTTGTCCCCAATTTTTTATCTCACGGCAACACCACCTTTTACCACTTTTTACCACCTTCTTACCACCTCTCTGGTTTGCCAAATATCTTTAGTTGTGAACGTCGTAGAAGGTTGCAAATTAATCGAGGATGTTTATCTCATCAAGGAGAAAAACCTTTGTTAGAAAACTTTTTACGTTGGACAATCAGCCAATTGGATAATTACCAATTAGCTAATTACCAAAACAATTGAAAATTTTTATTGGCTCAAAATGATCGATATCAATTGAAACACGGATAAATGTAGTTTTTAGAAAAACTTCGAATGTACTGGGCCTCTTCTTTGCATCTATATTCTATAATTAGAATTTAGACCGAGTTGCACTTTTTGTCACTCTTGCAATAGGCCGGTAATCGGTATTAGGAAGCAAGTGTAAATATACCTTACAACATCCACTGTGGTTTTTTTGTATTGTGAATGCGCATGCCGCTTCGTTGACTATGCAAGATACCTCAAATCACTCTCATATTATTTCATAGTTAGGGTCGGGATAGAGCAGGAGGTAGCATTCAGAGTTCAGAGGTTGCTAGAAATAGCTAGACTCAGAATGAATTGGTGGTAGCTGGGTGGTGCTGACATGGAGGTTGCAGATCGTAGCTAAATCAAATGAAGTTCTTATGAAAACGGGGAACTGGGAAGCTAAGGCTTGTTAAGACCCAAATGATGTTTGACTCTGTCCTGATAGATCCAGTGAAGAGCGAGCAGCGAAGAATTTGGTCACTGACCTAAAGAAGAAGAGCACTAAAGTCTAAACAGACTCATCTCGATCACTAAATTGGGTACGGGAAGGTCTGTAGCCGTGATAAGAAGATACCATGAAGTTATTCTTGTGGAAAAGTGGTCGATTCAAGGGTTTGGTTGGATCTGAAAAGGCTGTGTCAGTCTACCTGTTTTCATCAAAATCTGATGAAAGGCTGTTAAGTTCAGGACGGTGATTTTTATTGGTCGGATAGCTGTACCTGGTCGCTTCCAGCCCACCCTTGTCGCTTGGGTATAAGTTCTCACCCCACCTCTTCCAAAAATACCTGAGCAGGAAACCCTCCTTCCTGCTCTTCTTTCAACCCAAACACAATCAGGTTCCTGCTCCTCTCCTCCTCTGCAGCCACAATTTTATCTCCTTCTTCGACGTTTTAATTTTGCAGACTATATCACTTCCACTGTTCTTTTGCAGTACTCCTGTACTGTAGCTCTGTGTCCCTGACTCCGCCGTGGTTTGCACTGCCCTTCAACTTTAAGTAACTTTAGCTCCAGCACTCTTTGGCCATTAAAATAACTAACTCCAATGTAACTTCGTGAAGAGCTATGTTCTACTACCTCCATGCTAGCACCAACCAGCTACCACCAGTTTATTCTAAGTCTAGCTATTTCTAGCAACCTCTGAACTCTGAATGATACCTCCTGCTCTATCCTGACTATGACATAATATGGGAGTGATTTGCGGTATCTTGCATAGCAAACGAAGCGGCATGCACATTCACAATACAAAAAAGCCACAGTGGATGTTGTAAGGTATATTTACACTTGCTTCCTGTACCTCCCTATAATACTGGGCCTATTGCAAGAGTGGCAAAAAGTGCAACTCGGTCTAATTATAGATGCAAAGAAGAGGCCCAGTACATTCAGGTACCCGGTATAGATTGGCAAGATTGATAGTATAGAGAGGTTTTAATCATTGCAATCAATAAAATTATAGTACAGCAGGTAATTCGCTTTGATCTCAAATGGTCCTTTTAGTTTTGTGCTGTTTCTTTATGTGGAATTTGATAAGGCTGTACTGTAATTAATTATGAAACTCTTATATTGTGTGGTTTACCTTTTTCAGGTTCAGCCCTTTCCGCTTAGTTATTCATAATTACTAAAAGAAGCCGAGAAAAATGTTCGTAATTCTTATCACGGCTCCAGACCTTCCCGTACCCAATTTAGTGATCGAGATGAGTCTGTTTAGACTTTAGCCCTCTTCTTCTTTAGGTCAGTGACCAAATTCTTCGCTGCTCGCTCTTCACTGGATCTATCAGGACAGATTCAAACATCATTTGGGTCTTAACAAGCCTTAGCTTCCCAGTTCCCCGTTTTCATAAGAACTTCATTTGATTAAGCTACGATCTGCTACCTCCATACCAGCACCACACCAGTTCATTCTGAATCTAGCTATTTCTAGCAACCTCTGAACTCTGAATGCTACCTCCTACTCTATCCCGACCCTGACTTTGACATAATATGGGCTAGTGATTTGAGGTATCTTGCATAGCAAACGAAGCGGCAATACAAAAAAGCAACAGTGGATGTTATAATGTATATATTTTACACTTGTTTCCTATACCTCCCTATAATACCGGGCCTATTGCAAGAGTGACAAAAAGTGCAACTCGGTCTGATTATAGATTATCAATCGTTTTGGTAATTAGCTAATTGGTAATCATCCAATTGGCTGATTGTCCAACCTAAAAAGTTTTCTAACAAAGGTTTTTCTCCTTGATGAGATGAACAACCTCGATTAATTTGCAACCTTCTACGACGTTCACAACTAAAGATATTTGGCAAACCAGAAAGGTGGTAAGAATGTGGTAAAAAGTGGTAAAAAGTGGTGTTGCCGTGACATAAAAAATTGGGGACAAGTCTTATTATGTTTGTGGGGGTCCTAACTACTATTTTCTGTTGCTAAATTCTTATTATCCTTTAAATCCAACGGATTTTCACTTTTCCCCTGACCAGATATTCAATTTTTAACATTTTTGAACCAATTCTGATTTCAAAATTGGGACAAATAAAACTTTTTTTTTTTTTTTTTTTTTTGACTGAAAAATTTGGCGCGTAAAATACTATTTATTCAGTGTTTTGCAAAAAATAAGTGTTTTAGAGCTTTAAGAACCTTGCCAATCGATTCGTCGTGCAAAAATACATAGATTTAGACCCCTAACATGTTAGGAATGACATTATATATATATTTCACTCAGATTGCGCCTGGACATTTTGGTACCAAAAATGGGCGTGGCCAAATGGGCGATTTTCCCAGTCTGAATTTTAGGGCTCCGAAGTTTTTTCGGTTCTTAAGACCTTTGAGAGCCCCCAAAAAAATTTTCAGCCCTCTACTATGAAATGCAGGTAAATATCCATAACTGACCAGACTAAGTGTGTCAGCTCAATGGAGGAGTTTCATCAGACAATGTGAAAATTGATACCCGCTTGACAGTGATCCGTGAAGTACACGCTCGTTGGATCAACGAACTTTTTGTATATTTAAAAGGGAGGCCAGATGACATAAGGAAAGGCTTTGAGAAGTCGGGTATAACTGATGCTTGTAGATCAGACTTTACGGTGGATGTCGGATGATAATCCATTTGCAGATCTTGTTTAAATCTCTAGCTATCCGTACCTCTAGCCATTTGTTTTATTAGTAGCTGTTAGCTATTCCAGTTATTTCTATTCATTTAAAATATAAGCCTTTTTACTTGGTCAAGCCATGAATGACAGATTATAAAACTAAAATTTCAAATATTATTTCACTTGGATATGAAGAAAAAGCCATCTTTCTATAGATTTCAGGGCCACAGGTAAAATGCCAAAAGTTTGGTTAGCAAAAAATTTATCAGACGGAAAAGATTTATGCAATTAATTTGGTCTGCAAAAAATTTGGGCGAGAGGCCCGATCAAATTTTTTGTCGCCCAAATTTTTGGGAATTAAGGTACATAGCGTACTCTATAGTCTAGATATATATATATATATATGTATATATATATAACGGAGTACGAGTTATTATAAAGCGATTCGGCAACCGTAGGCGTAACCCGTCGCAACTATATCATGCCGTATGTAGAAGGATTGACTCAACCTGCAATTAAAACAATCCGATAAGTTACCTTATCGGGCTTCATTTGAACGAACATTACGTCATACGTGGACGTTGGATCAGGCCCTTAAAGTCACTTTCTTCGGCTTCCTCAACGTAGATGAGAAGTACGTAAAGTACGTATATCAATATGTACGCTAAATTGAAAAGTACGAAAAGTACCTCATTTTAGTTCCTCAATCCTCATTTATTTCTTCTGAGTAAACGGAAAAAAAGAAAAATTCCAGATGATTTTTAAGCGCTCATATTAATGACTACTCAGAATTATGTCCGTTCACACTATGACTATGCCCAGTCAAATAACGTGGACTAGATCTCCAGATATAACTTTTAATTTTTAAGATTAGCCCTATAATTTCCATGAAAGATGACACTCCCAGGTTGGGGGGATGTGCCATGGCACGACGCTTTAACGATAGCCCCGACACTTAACTCCCTGGCAGAAACAGGGATTATACTGGACAGGCACTACGTTCAATCCACTTGTACTCCTACGAGGGCAGCCCTGATGACTGGGAAATATCCAAGCAGACTGGGACTCAACCATGGCAACATTTACTCTGTGAGTTCGCATTTCGCATGATATCACATTACAATATTCAGTCTCGACCTAATTCTGGGTTAGATAAGGTCAAGCAGATAATTTAATATTGTTCTTATCTAAGATAACCAAAATCAGAAGCACTTAAAACAACTTATCATTCGTCTAACCATCACCATTAATTCTTCAACCACAGAACGAACCGTATGGTCTCATGGCAAACGAAACATTAATCCCTAACTACATGAGTGAGCTAGGGTACTCTTGCCATGCTGTAGGAAAGTGGCACCTAGGTTTTTGTTCCTGGGACCTGACTCCTGTTAAACGAGGGTTCGATTCGTTCTACGGGTTCTACAATGGACAAGAAAGTTATTACAATAAGACTACTCACAATGGTTTCGATTTCAGGTGAGTTTAATTTGGTAAATACTATATATAAGTTGTCGAGTTATAGTATAGTATTATTGATCTTGGTTAAAGTGACTAGCAGAACATATTCAGTCCTGGGACCAACATTATCTTATGCTTCTCATCCTGAAAGTGGGTGAACCCAAGAACCTCATAATATCATGAGATGATCTTGTCAAAAAATTTGTGCAATTTTGGGCATTCAGGACATGAATCAGAAATAATGGTGGTTTGTCATTAATAGATGAAATATCACAGGTTGGATACTCCTGGAGATAATGGAACTGTTAATAGTGAGGTTCTTTGGTCTGCTAAAAGCACTTACTCTACTATACTTTACGCTAACCGAGCTGCAAAGGTTTGCCGTACAAGTCAATATTGTGGAAATTCAATAGAATCAGTAATCACTAGCACGATGAAATGGCTAGGCGAGCGATAAAATTGGTTGTACATCTATTGAAATATTGTTAAAAGCTAAAATCTTAAGTCTCAAAATCAAATTTCTGTGAAGTAGTGCCAAAAATGATAATACACAGGTAGTACATGACCACAATCAAAGCAAACCTCTGTTTCTATACCTGGCTATGCAGAGCGTTCATGGACCTAACGAATTTCTTGAGAAACACTATCAGGTGACTAGAGTATTATATGTGGCATGTGCTCTAATCTTTGTTAAAACTTTTCAAAGTGATATCGCGATCAATGATGTAATGCTTCCTTTTTGCTGGAAAGACATACCTTATCGGACTTTACTTGAACGGACATTAATTGGACGCTGGCGGCCCTAGCCACTACTTATTGTCCAGGATATGATAACTTTTTTTATTTCTTCGTATCAAAAGTTTCACTGCTTAACAACTAATTTTCTTGTTTACTGTATTGAAAGTCGATTGGAAAATTATCGTTATTATTGAAAGAAAAAAGCCCAAAAATATCATACAAAATAATGTCCGTTCACGCAATGTCCGGTCAAATAAGGCAGTATTTAAATTGTACGAGCATGCAGTCTCATTCTCAGCTCATTTATATATATATATATATAAACAAAAGCTCTAAGAAACAGATAGTAAACAAAGTAAACATTTCTGTCCCCTAATCTTTCTCAAACAAAAGTCATGCAATTTGCATACTTCTCCATTTAACTCTATTCTGAGCGATTAAAGTTAAATTGTTTAAATCACATAAATTATTTAACGATAATTTTCGAACACTAAGGTCGTGTAGAATCAGTGAGAAAAGGTTTGACTGCGGTCTTCCACGCCACCCTTGAAGCTGTAAGGTGTTAACAGCAAAAACAAGCGACGAATAGGCTGGACCATCTGTAGGCCCACGCAGTACATGTCCGAGCATCCTCCACCGACTACGAGCCACTTTAGCTGACAATGGTTCGCTATTGCAGCGTTTATACAAGTTCTTGTTGGAAATGATGTGAGGGTATTTGTAATTCAAAATTGATCGCAGATGACGTCTGTGAGCAATATCTAGTTTTTCCAATACTGATTTAGGGGCAGCCCAGCAAGATGAATTGTACATTAAAACGGATACTACCAGAGCCTCATACAACAGAAGCCTCTTGCTCAAAGGGAACTTATGGTTCCAAGCTTTCTTGTATTTGTTAAACGCGGCATATCCCAGACATATCCTTCTAGAGATGTCCTCCTTACTACAAAGCATGGAGCCAAGCGTGATACTCTTTCTCCAGAGCTCGTTCCCTGCAATTGGCTTACCCTGATCGTCTTTAGCTCCCTTTTCAGCTAAGTACACATGAGTGAAATCAGTTTTGTCTTCGTTAACGAAGAGATTCCAATCTTTAAGGACTTCTGTTGCAGTAGGCAACAGCTCCCTCAAATTGTCCTCATCTTCATCATTGAAGTCGATATCATCAGCATACTCACTGTCAAGTGGAAGACCGATATCGGTGATAGGTGGGTTAGGCCTATTCATTGCAGTTTCAAGCCTGTTACGGAGGTCACGCAAGGCACCCGCTAAGACAAGTGTGAACAAACATCCAGACAGACAGTCACCTTGGAATGCACCGAGAAAACTCTGGAATTCAGCAGACAGTGTACCGTTGATATTGACTTTGAGCTTGGTGTTGGAAAGCAAAAGTCTTACCAAACGGACTTCGTCATCATCACAGCCACACTCAACAAGAAGATCGAGGATGGTAGATCGTCGTATAGTGTCAAAGGCACTAGACATATCGATCCCCATACGATGGTATTCCCACCTCTTCCTCTGGACAACTGATAACATCACACGCTGGCACCATACAATGTCAGCACATGATCTACCCTGCTTGTAAGCACATTGCCATGGACCAGTGAAGGCATTGACTTTATTCTCAATTCTCTTCAAGGTTGCCATTGAAAGAATCTTTCTAACAGCATTTGAGAGAGTGAGGGGTCGTAGATTCTTCACTGGACCAATGGGCTTATTTGGCTTCTGTAAGGGGGTAATGTTTGCCTGTCCAATGGGGTCAAGGTAGGAATTGGTCTCGAAGCTTCTATTGATAATGTCTGCAAAACGTCTGTGTACTGATCCAGTAGAATACTTGAGAAGCTCGTTAGGAATTCCATCTGGGCCGTTAGCTCGACCATTTTTGAGACTTCTGGCAGCTGATCCGATTTCTTCACTAGTGAATGGCTTAACTAGTGGGCGAGGAGTTAATAGATGATCTAAGTGAGGTTCTGTCTAAAGACTGGTTATCATTAAGCTGCTGTCTCAACAAGTAACGCTGGCTAGATAAGTTTTTCACCTCATCATCGTCGCTGTGATTACGTTTCCTGTGTCTGATGACACCAATTGACGATTTTGCAGCATCCTTTATGGACTCAAGTAAGCCATTCAAGTCTGAATTTGGATCCAGAGCAGAAACAGTGTTACTTAAGTTATCATCTAAGGATTGACGATATTTCACCTGAATGGTGGGGTTCGAGGTGAGTTCAGAGGTATTGAACTTTAAGGATGTCTTGGAGTGGCGTTTATAGCAAAGACAGATGTCCTTAAAGTCTACTCTAGTGACAACAAATCTGTGATCAGAGTATGTCAAAGTGCCTGCATAAGAACTAGAATCTTGTAGCATTGGCTTCGACCTACTCCGACACAGGATGAAATCGATCTGAGAATAGACCGGGATCGTCTTTTTACTATTTCGCCCGGCACTCCAGTCCTTCCTCCAGCCAGTGTAGGTGGTCGTATGTCGAGCAGGATGATAAAAACCAGTGTTGGAGGCAAAGAGGTCAAATTCTGATAACAAGTCTAACAAGTTTTCCCCCCATATCGTTGCGCAAACCCATACCATGTTTACCCATGAAACGACCAAAACCAAAGTCCTTATCTGAAGTAGTCATTTTTCCCAACTTTGAATTAAAATCCCCCAAAACAAATATCTCAACATTAGCAGGGACGTTTAGAGCGTCCCTAACTTGGCCGTAGAAATTAATCAACAGTTGTTGATCATTTTCTGCAAGTTTCTTGTGTGGCCCATATACATTGACCACCCTACATTTGATAAATTTTCCAGATTTTGTAGGGAGTTCTAGGTCCAAACTCCAAAAAGCTTACTCGATCACTGATACTGTTCCAGCATACCACATAGTCAATAAATCGGGGACTGATAACAAAACCGAGTCCATAGTGCCGGCCATTTTTCTGCTCAAACAATAAGAGTTTGTATCCGTTGCTAAGACTGCAAGAATCCGGTTTTACAACCTTAGTCTCCTGAATAGCGCAGATATCTATGCCGTACCGTAGACAATCGGTACCCAGTTGCTCCCGTTTGCTGTGGATGTCGTCTGGATCATCACAAGAACCGAGGCCACGTATGTTAAAGGTGGCGAAGCTGATGAGGAGTGTAGCAAACAGGGATCGTCCTGTAGCTGAGGTAAACATTACGGAGGGCGATGTTGTCGTCTCTCCGCCGCTGGCGTTACCCATACGGTCCATCTGATAGCATTAGTCAAGTATACTGTTAGTCAAGTATACTGTTACACTCTAATCTAAATTAAATACGATAGAGAAATGCTGATAAAATAACTTTCCTATTGCAGATGTACAAAGGAATAGAGCTTAACTGTAAAAGAAGAAGGTTTCTATCAATGGTAACTGCTATGGACGATGCTGCTGAGGTAAGATAATTTATAAATCAGTTGATGTATAAAAAATAACATAATTATTTACGTGACTAAAGATTAAAATTTAATTTTTTAGACGTAGTGAAAAATAACAATGTCCCATAATCAAAGTTGTGGAACACAACAAAAAATTGAGAACAATATTGTGCGAGAGTAGGGACCCAGATGTCGATTCTAACCCAAATTAACTTTAAGGAGGCTTCTCATCAGTAGCCGCACCTCCTTTCTCGGTTTCTGAACTGGAATTCTATGGGCTTCCAGGCGGCCAGACCGAGTATTACCATTCCATCCTTCTAGTATATACTTCTAGAGTTCATAACAAGTATATACTTTTGCAATTCAACTGCAATAGTGAAGTCCCGGTCGTAGGCACGGGTTACACTAGTATAAGTATATACTAAGTGTCAAATCTGCAGCTAGGCACGATTTGTGGTGTTTCATAAGATCTATTAAATTTAACAAATCAACAATCACATTTCACACACTACCCAGGTGGTGGTGAAAGCTTTAAAACAGTCTGGAATGTGGGAAAATACGATATTTATCTTCTTCAGTGACAACGGGGGAGCAGTGGGAAGTAAAGGAATTGGTCAGGTCAGTAATCATTGAAGCAAAAAAAAGTCCGATGATGTTGTTGATAGCTTTTAGATGACGAACGTATTCGAGTAATAATTGTTTCTAATTCGAATGTGAAGTAAAAAACATTCCATCCGTTAAAGATAAAGTTTTATTATTATTATAGAATTACAATTTAAAATGCTAAACGTGGTTAAATTATTTAACCACATTGAGCACCTCAGTTAAAATCATTCAGGTGAACTACCCACTGAGAGGAGGTAAAGCCTCCTACTGGGAGGGAGGGATCAGATCTAGCTCCTTCATCCACTCTCCCTTGATTCCAGGTAGCTGCTATAACTCCCTCTCCCAGAAATATTACCAGGGCGTTTATTGTTGTGTTTTGATATTAACGTTTTAAAGTGGGAATCCGAAAAAGTTCGGATAACTTCAATTTTCAATAGTAAGAGCATACCTTTCATAGTTTGATTGACCGCCTGAATAATTTCCCTTATTCAGTTGGATTGTATAACAGGGAGATGCTCCATATTACAGACTGGTTACCCACTCTTACCCACTTGGCTGCATGTGGTCCAGAACCCACCAACCATGAGTGTACAGGTAAATTTTAAACGTTCATTTGTTTATCCCTCGTTTAACGCTACGTTCACACTTTGCTGAAGTCAAATTTGCGATCCTCTGATGCAAAATTCTGTGCAGAGTCCTAACTTTGTCTTGGGAGCTGTACCCTAGAAAACAGCGCCATCCCGGAAAGTTGTCCCAACTTCGGCATCAGCTCATCTGAATTATTAAAATAATTACCTCTACACCAGTCACCAAGCAAGGTGATTGATCATGAACTGCCACCTCTACTCCCAGGTCCTGACTTGGGAGACATTGATGGAGTTAACCAGTGGGATGCGATAATTGGGGCAGCAAAGAGTAACAGAGCAGAGTTTCTTGTAAACATCGACCCTATTTCTAAGAACTCTGCTCTAAGATGGGGACCTTGGAAGCTATATCACGGTCAGAGTTGTGATCATAGATATACCTTAGTTCCCAAAAATTTGTGTGCCATTATATTGAGCACGATTTATTTGAGCCCGAAAAATTTGGGCAGAAAATTTGAACTCATTTGGGCGACCGAAAATTTGGGCACAAATTCTTCGAAAAATGAACGATTTTCCACTAAAATTTCAGTTAGATATTTGCCTTAGTTCATTATTATTCCAGTCATTTTGCTTTCAATTTTAAGCATGTAGGTGGTAGTCTGAGTTGTTTCACATTATGAAATTTACGATATGCCCAGTAACTACTAAAAAATACAGTGATGATGGCACAGTACAAAATGATAGATATACAATAGTGATATTTAGTCTCTCAATCAGATAGTTTAGTCTACTTACACTCAGCATATCTTATCATACCCCTTTCACATACAATTATCATTATGACGCCTCACCAGATGGTCGAAAGGTTTGACCAGTGTCCAGTTCTTTGAGAAAATCCTTCTTACCCACATAGAATCAGTTCGAGCCTCCATCAACAACCCTGAGCAGAAAGCGCTACTGATATCAGATGTGTTTCGGGCCCAACACACACAGACACTAAAAGATCTGATGACAGCCAACAACTGCATCCTACAGAAAGTTCCAGCTAATATGACCCATCATCTACAGCCCCTGGACATATCTATCAATGGACTGGCTAAGAAATTCATGCGCAATAAGTATGAAGATTGGTACGCGAAAAACATAGTGTGTCAGCTCAATGGAGGAGTTTCATCAGACAATGTGAAAATTGATACCCGCTTGACAGTGATCCGTGAAGTACACGCTCGTTGGATCAACGAACTTTTTGTATATTTAAAAGGGAGGCCAGATGACATAAGGAAAGGCTTTGAGAAGTCGGGTATAACTGATGCTTGTAGATCAGACTTTACGGTGGATGATAATCCATTTGCAGATCTTGTTTAAATCTCTAGCTATCCGTACCTCTAGCCATTTGTTTTATTAGTAGCTGTTAGCTATTCCAGTTATTTCTATTCATTTAAAATATAAGCCTTTTTACTTGGTCAAGCCATGAATGACAGATTAGAAAACTAAAATTTCAAATATTATTTCACTTGGATATGAAGAAAAAGCCATCTTTCTATAGATTTCAGGGCCACAGGCCAAATGCCAAAAGTTTGGTTAGCAAAAAATTTAGCAGACGGAAAAGATTTATGCAATTAATTTGGTCTGCAAAAAATTTGGGCGAGAGGCCCGCTCAAATTTTTTGTCGCCCAAATTTTTGAGAATTAAGGTACTACATCAAACCCTAATTGAATTCAGCTTCAGGCACACTTATAGTTATAGAATTCATAAATTATGTCCGAATCCTTTAATTATTATGAAAGGTCCTCTACTCGTATGTGGAAGTTTTGCTGGCAAACTAAAAGAAAAGGTTATATGACCACCCCTCAATATCCCTCAATGAACTGACAGTATAAGCCATATAACTGGGACTGCAAGGTTGTTCCACCACTACTAATTCCCTCCCCCCACCTAGGTAACCCCGGTATAAGTGGATGGAAACCTCCTCCCAGAGTTAACCGGGATCTTTACGAAGACCAGAATTATCAGTACTACTTTCAAGGACCTCATTCTGTAAGTGATTTTTTCCCTACTCTTGCCGAAGGCAAAAAGATCGTAGGGAATAAGTAATCGGGTTTAGATATATGAGGTGGCCCGATGGACCTGCGATGACGACAAAAGTCTGCTCCTTCGCAATATAGACCACTCCCCTATAATCAAGTATATAAGAAGCGTCTGTTATGCTGCGCGCGACGCTAGCCATGTTGATGTGTTAATTAATTACAGTGAGATTCCTCCTTCGCAAAGTTATTTTCCGCAATTTTCTGGATTCATTTATTGTTGATGCGCGGCGCTGCATTGGTCAAATAAATCGTCAATTTTTACCATGCACGAATCCCTCTCATTTATAAAAAACATAGTATGTAAATATGGTGCACTTTTTTCCAGTCACACTTTTCACTCAAAAGAATTAATGCCATAATGGTACAAGTACATAGTAGGGAAAATTGATCGTGCGTGGTTTAACCGCGGCGAAATTCTTGTTGTTATTCTTCGTCGAGGGAGAGTATATTATTATATGAGGACGTGTTTATTCTGTATGCCGACGATGACTATATGTATTTCAAGAGCAAAATTAAAACATTTATTTTAATGAATTAAAACTGAAAGTTCATTAATTCAAGCTTTACAAGTGAACAAGATCGATAATAGAACCATGCATTGTTAACTAGGTCTGAAGTCACCTTCAAACTGCCCGACCTCAGATTATGCTGTTTGACGTTGAGGCAGACCCGGCAGAAAAAAATGAAGTATCAGAAGCTAATCCCGATATTGCGACAACAATGTTGAAGAGACTGAACTTTTATCAAAACAGGGTAAGTTTGTGTGTGAATGATACATACAATTTTTTGATTTTATTGGTTAACTACTAAAAACTATGACTTTGTCTTTACTAATTTAACATCTCAATTAATTGTACTATAACTTGATCTATTTTTATGGGAACAGCAGTGATGTGATGATATCATGATATTATCCAACTTTTTCTTTCAGACAATCCCACCAAGGAAGCTTAATAAAGATCCAGCCTCGCACCCTGCCCTGTTCGGTGGAGTCTGGACCCCCTGGCTTGGATCTTGCTAGTTCCTTTTAATATCTGCTCATGTTAGTCGGTTCTGCACACACATGTCATTTTTATAAGACTATAACGATGTAGATTGTAGTTATTAATTATTATGAAGATTTCATCCGAATTGTGGTGTATAACTGCCTATTCAAACATGTTTCAAAGTCATGGCGTCCAGGAAATGATACTATCAGTCCGGTTGCCACGACCACACTAAGCCCAAAAATGCGAAATCATTTTAACATGCCCAAAATCAAGCTTTTTGGTCTTGTATATACTCGTTTCCTTAACTTGCCAAATAATGGCTCAGACCATTTCGTTACCTAGTTCCCGGTGGAACTAATTTGATTCAGATCACGATATCACGACAATATAGCTTCACGTTTACAGCATGAGCAACATGTTTACCAGCGCCGGATTCAAATCAATTTCGCGAGTAGCAGCCTGCAAGACTGTCAAAATCAAAGCTAAGTTAACAGGCTCATGTCCATCAATATTTAACATACAATTTCATATAAACTTAAGTTTATTAATTAATAATCCCAACAACACCATTTCCTTAGAGTTTGAAACATCCGAGGGTTCGTTTCAAGGTGATGCTGCATCTGGTGCATTCTTCACACTGTACTTTGCTGGAGCTTTGTACCACTTCCGTGCAGTAGTGATTACCTTACCTGGGGACCTCAGGCTATCATGTTCATAAACATATAGAGATTAGGCGGAATGACAGGCTGAGCGTGGCCCAGTAATGATTACCATTCGGCCTAACCCACCGTTCAACCCCGAGACCCTCATGCCTATTGAATGGGAATACGCCGACGATGGCGATTTTGCAGACGAGGATGAGGAAACTCTTTAAGAAATGCTGCCCATATGTAAGTAGATCCTTGAAGAATGGAACCTGTTTGTGAACGAGGACAAAACAGAACATGTCCACTTCTACATTGCAGATAAGGACGAGGTAGATGCCAAGGGTGAACCCGTGAAGAACAGAGAGCGCAACACCATTTCTCTTGGATCCAAGCTCTGCAGTAAGGCTGATATCTCTCGCCGATGCATCCTTGCTTACGTTGACTTTGAGAAATACAGCAAGGTATGGGCAGAGAAATCCCGCATTTCTCTTCTTGTAAAAATCAAGCTGTATGAAGCATTTGTTACCCACTTACCCCTGTTTTGTTGTACAACTGTAACAGCTGGGCAGCTCCACAGAACCGAGCGTGCTAAATCACTCTACAGTCGATCTTCGAGATTGTTCTAAAAGGGCCCCCGACGGTTGTAACCCACTTCAAGTTCAATCGATGTATTTTTGGACGCTGATTCCGAATCACCCCCCATGACATAGGGTTAAAATGCTCCCCTGACGAGATATTGGCGAAAAACTGTATCGATCACGTGATATGACGAACATTATCAATAAAGTTGATGTGTGTCAACGCAAACATCTAAGACGAATCATCAACATGACCTATCCAGTATCCCCGCATCATCAGCAACAAGGACTTGTATGCTCGTTGCAATGTAACTCCACTTTCAGAGAGAGTTCATAAATCCCGCTGGAAAATGTTTGGGCACATTCTTCGTAGCGACTGCAACTCACCACCACAACTAGCTCTAAATTTTGCTGTTGATAGTATGTCAAATATGAGGGGAAGGATTGGTAGATATCAATGTAATATTTTTAAAACTATTTTAGACGATTTGAATAAAAGAAATAATAATTTGAATAATAGTGACGACTTGACAGACTTAAGGTATTTACTATTTAGCCTCGAACCGCCAATTGTGGAGAAATTTATTTTAAATTTGATTAGTTCGATAATTTCAGTTTTAAGTTCAAATTTTTGCATAATTTTTGATTTTGATAAGTTCAGTTTTAAGTTTCATTTTTGCATTTATAGTAAGTTTTCAGTTCTACAAGTCTTTTAAGTAGACTTATCAGGTCTTTAGGATGTTGTGTAAAGTTTGATAATAATAATAATCCCAGACGAATCTCGAAGCTGTCACGCAATAAAACTATTTAGTATTACTATTTACATGTATTCCCACAAACAACGTAAAAAGCGTCGCGTCTGGAGACAAGTTCTTCGATTATTTTAATAATACAACCATTTCTTTGGTGCATACGCGGGTAGGTTTACCGTTTACTGTGCTGGAAAATGCTTAAATGAGACATCATTCACTAGGATAAGCAATGAGTATAGGGTAAACTTGATAGATCATACATCAAAATGTTTACCAAATACCAATACCTTGAATTATAAATAAAATCTTTAACCATTGTCAGTTACGCAGTATTTTATAGCAATACATTGTTAAAAATTGAAAATTGCTCAAATAAATTTCGTCAAAATAACTGTAGATTATCAAAAAATATCCCTATCGTTAACAATAAGTTCACATTATTCAACAAATGACATGAAGAGTATCTCTATAAGTATAAAGATAATCATAAAGAAATTGTTACTAAGTAAGTCTGAAGGAACAGGCATAACTCTTTTCCACTTTTTAAAAGATCTTATTTATGGAATTATATCCTACACCTAGTTACTGTGTAAATATTTATATAACAATAACAATAATGCAGTGGAATTTATAATTATATGGCGAAACTCTCCTGTACATCTAGAGCTCTAAATTTTAATCAATTACATTTGATTATGTTTGATGTTGGTACTTGGTTGACTATAAAAATGACACGTGTGTGCGGAACCGACTAACATGAGCACATATTAAAAGGGACTAGCAAGACTCAAGCCAGGGGGTCCAGACTCCACCGAACAGTCCAGGGCGCGAGGCCGGGTCTTCTTCAAGCTTCCTTGGTGGGATTGTCTGAAAGAAAAAGTTGGATCATATCAAGATATTATCACATCACTGCTGTTCCCATAAACATATATCGGGTTATAGTACTATGAATTGTGATGTTAAGTTAGTAAGTAAAGTCATAATTTTTAGTAGTTTACCAATAAAATTAAAAAAATTGTAAGCGGGAAGTTGGTCGTTTAGCTCCGGACAGTCTATGCAACGTCTATGCAACGTCCGTGCAACAACAAAAGAACCGTCTATGCAACGTCTATGCAACGTCCCTGCACAATGAACACTCTATGCACACTCCCTGCACGGTCAGTCTATGCAACGTCTATGCAACGTCTATGCAACGTCCCTGCACAGTACCATATGAACACCGGCTAGTAGCCACTTTTGTAATAACAGCTCCTCAACTTCACATTAACAACCGGCTACTAACCGGCACTTGAAAAGTGGTCACTAGCCGGCTACTAACCGGCTACTAGCCGGCTAGTGACCACAAAGTGGCTACTAACCGGCTACTAAGCGGTCACTAGCCGGCTATTAGCCGAGCTCTAAAGCAGACCTATTAGTAGCCGGTTTGGTAGTAGGTCTGCTTTAGAGCTCGGCTAATAGCCGGCTAGTGACCGGTTAGTAGCCGGTTAGTAGCCACTTGGTGGTTACTAGCCGGTTAGTAGCCGGTTAGTAGCCGGCTAGCGACCGCTTTTCGAGTGCCGGCTAGTAGGTCCGCTTAAGAGCCGGCTAGTGACCGGTTAGTAGCCGGTTAGTAGCCACTTGGTGGTTACTAGCCGGTTAGTAGCCGGTTAGTAGCCGGCTAGTGACCGCTTTCTAAGTGCCGGCTAGTAGCCGGTTTGGAACCGGCTACTAGTAGGTCTGCTTTAGAGCTCGGCTAATAGCCGGCTAGTGACCGCTTAGTAGCCGGTTAGTAGCCACTTTGTGGTCACTAGCCGGCTAGTAGCCGGTTAGTAGCCGGCTAGTGACCACTTTTCAAGTGCCGGTTAGTAGCCGGTTGGTAATGTGAAGTTGAGGAGCTGTTATTACAAAAGTGGCTACTAGCCGGCTAGCAGCCGGCTAGTAGCCGGCTAGTAGCCGGTGTTCATATGGTACTGTGCAGGGACGTTGCATAGACGTTGCATAGACGTTGCATAGACGTTGCATAGACTGACCGTGCAGGGAGTGTGCATAGAGTGTTCATTGTGCAGGGACGTTGCATAGACGTTGCATAGACGGTTCTTTTGTTGTTGCATGGACGTTGCATAGACGTTGCATAGACTGTCCGGAGCTAAACGACCAAGTTGCCTTGTAAGCATAATCATTCGCACACAAACTTACCCTGTTTTGATAAAAGTTCAGTCTCTCTAACATTGTTGTCACAATATCGGGATTGGATTCTGATACTTCATTTTTTTCTGCCGGGTCTGCCTCAACGTCAAACAGCATAATCTGAGGCCGGGCAGTTTGAAGGTGACATTGTTTGTCTAATTCAGACGTATTTAGCAATTTACGTTGCTATTATCGATCTTGTTCACTTGTAAAGCTTGAATTGATGAACGTTAATTTTTTTATCAAGACACTTATTTTACTTCGGTGTATTCCAACAGCCACATTGTTACACAAGTGCAACCAGCCAATTACAGGAAGCCGAAGGATTTATTTGGCCAGTGACGGTTAAGGTTGTGTGTACCATACTTTCTTCGCCCGAGACTTTGCTGCTATGTGCAGCTCCTCATTTAACCCTCACACCCGATTTCTCGAGTATTCGGCTGAGTAGACCGGGGGGCTACATAGACCACTCAGGATCATTAGTTGAACGTCGACGACGCTCACCCCACGACCAGGCAGACAGTGGGATTCGAACTCGCAACCTCACGATTTGCAAAGATGGCGTTCTAACCAACTGCGCTACCTGGCCGTCAAAGTAAATGTTTCAATTTTTTAAATTGGTATATTTTCGACGGCTTATGAAATAAAAAACGTCCTCAAGTAATAGTACATTCTAGTAAATTCTAACAAGTACAACATTCTACCTCGACGAGGAATAACAAAAATCACTCACAGAATGAGGTCCTTGAAAGTAGTAGAGATTGCTTTCTTCGTGAAGATCCCGGTTAACTCTGGGAGGAGGTTTCCATCCACTTATACCGGGGTTACCTAGGTGGGGGGAGGGAATTAGTAGTGGTGGAATAACCTTGCAGTCCCAGTTATATGGCTTATACTGTCAGTTCATTGAGGGATATTGAGGGGTGGTCATATAACCTTTTCTTTTAGTTTGCCAGCAAAACTTCCACATACGAGTAGAAGACCTTTCATAATAATAAAAGGATTCGGCCATAATTTATGAATTCTATAAGTGTGCCTGAAGCTGAATTCAATTAGGGTTTGATGTAGTATATCTATGATCACAACTCTGACCGTGATATAGCTTCCAAGGTCCCCATCTTAGAGCAGAGTTCTTAGAAATAGGGTCGATGTTTACAAGAAACTCTGCTCTGTTACTCTTTGCTGCCCCAATTATCGCATCCCACTGGTTAACTCCATCAATGTCTCCCAAATCAGGACCTGGGAGTAAAGGTGGCAGATCATGATCAATCACCTTGCTTGGTGACTGGTGTAGAGGTAATTATTTTAATAATTCAGATGAGCTGATGCCGAAGTTGGGACAACTTTCCGGGATGTCGCTGTTTTCTAGGGGTGCAGCTCCCAAGACAAAGTTAGGACTCTGCACAGAATTTTGCATCAGAGGATCGCAAATTTGACTTCAGCAAAGTGTGAACGTAGCGTTAAACGAGGGATAAACAAATGAACGTTTAAAATTTACCTGTACACTCATGGTTGGTGGGTTCTGGACCACATGCAGCCAAGTGGGTAAGAGTGGGTAACCAGTCTGTAATATGGAGCATCTCTCTGTTATACAATCCACCTGAATAAGGAAAATTATTCAGGTGGTGAATCAAACTATGAAAGGTATGCTCTTATTATTGAAATTATCCGAACTTTTTCTAATTCCATCTTTAGAACGTTAATATCAAAACACAACAATAAACGCCCTGGTAATATTTCTGGGAGAGGGAGTTATAGCAGCTACCTGGAATCAAGGGAGAGTGGATGAAGGAGCTAGATCTGATCCCTCCCTCCCAGTAGGAGGCTTTACCTCCTCTCAGTGGGTAGTTCACCTGAATGATTTTAACTGAGGTGCTCAATGTGGTTATTTAATTTAACCACGTTTAGCATTTTAAATTGTAATTCTATAATAATAATAAAACTTTATCTTTAACGGATGGAATGTTTATTACTTCACATTCGACTTAGAAACAATTACTCGAATACAAATTCGTCATCTAAAAGCTATCAACAGCATCATCAGATTTTTCTTGCTTGATTACTGACCTGACCAATTGTTTTCTTTCCCACTGCTCCCCCGTTGTCACTGAAGAAGATAAATATCGTATTATCCCACATTCCAGACTGTTTTAAAGCTTTCACCACCACCTGGGTAGTGTGTGAAATGTGATCGTTTGTTAAATCTAATAAATCTTATGAAACACCACAAATCGTACCCAGTTTCTGGTTTTAGTTTTGACGATTATAAATTATTTGACTTATATGATACATTGTAATTTTCACTATACGTCTAAAAAAGTAATTCCAACCTTTACTCACGTAAAGAATCTTAAATCATGTTATTCTGTAAACAGATTTATAAATTATCTTACCTCAGCAGCATCGTCCATAGCAGTTACCATTGACAGAAACCTTCTTCTTTTACAGTTCTGCTCTACTCCTTTGTACATCTGCAACAGGAAAGTTAATTGATCATGCATTTTTCTATCGTATTTATTTTAGATTAGAGTGTAACAGTATACTTGCCTAATGCTATAAATGAGCTGAGAATGCGACTGCATGCTATAAAACAATTTAAATACTATGTAATCAAAACATTTATCGCTGTCCTTCCAGAAAAATGGAAGAATTACATTATTGATATCACTTTGAGAAGTTTTAACAACAATTAGAGCACATGCCTCATATCAAACTTTAGTCACCTGATAGTGTTTCTTAAGAAATTCGTTAGGACTATGAACGCTCTGCATGGCCAGATATAGAAACAGAGGTTTGCTTTGATCGTGGTCATGTACTACCTGTACATTATAATTAACATATACTACTTGTACATTATAATTTTTGGCACGACTTCATAAAAATTTGAGTTTGTGACTTAAGTGTTTAGCTTTTTTGTTGTTATAAGTTCTAACTGTCACCAAGATGCAATTAGGCGGAAGCCCTAACACCTAATTTAGGCCTAACGCCAAAGTTAGGCCTAACTGCATCTTGTTGACAGTAACAACATTTCAATATGTGAACAACCAATTGTATCCCTCGCCTAGTCATTCCCTTGTGCTAGTGATTCTATTGAATTTCCACAATATTGTCTTGTACTGTAAACCTTTGCAGCTCGGTTAGCGTAAAGTATGGTGGAGTAAGTGCTTTTAGCAGACCAAACAACCTCACTATTAACAGTTCCATTATCTCCAGGAGTATCCAACCTGTGATGTTTCATCAATTAATTAATGACAAACCACCATTATTTCTGATTCATGTCCCCAATGCCCAAAATTGAACAAATTTTGACAAGATCATCTCATGATATTATGAGGTTCTTGGATTCACCTATTACTTTCAGGATGAGAAGCATAAGATAATGTTGGTCCCAGGACTGAATATGTTTTGCTAGTCACTTTAACCAAGATCAATAACATAACTCAACAACTTATAATTCCTAGTATTTACCTGCAAACTCACCTGAAATCGAAACCATTGTGAGCAGTTTTATTGCGATAATGTTCTTGTCCATTGTAGAACCCGTAGAACGAATCGAACCCTCGTTTAACAGGAGTCAGGTCCCAGGAACAAAAACCTAGGTGCCACTTTCCTACAGCATGGCAAGAGTACCCTAGCTCACTCATGTAGTTAGGGATTGAAGTGGTTTGTAAATGGGCCATTGTTAGCCCCAAGCGTTTTGGTCCCTCATTCCTGCCACTCAGCATTGCCTACTGTAAAGTAGAAATTTTTCTAAGATAATAGAGAAACTGACCTTGTCTCACTAAATTCAACCACTTACCATAATTAAAATACTAACAACCAAATAAAGTTTTTAAAGTAATTATATACAATCACCAAAAATATTTCCTCAAGTTTACTTCTAGCTAACTAATTCGTGGTTTAAGCTCTTATTTTATTTATGATTAAAGGAATGTAAAATAAAACTTTTCGTTTCATTGATTAATATTTCGTTTGCCATGAGACCATACGGTTCGTTCTGTGGTTGAACAAATGGTGATGGTTAGACGAATGATAAGTGGTTTTAAGTGCTTCTGATTTTGGTTATCTTAGATAAGAACAATATCAAATTATTTGCTTGAGCTTATCTAACCTTGCATCACGTCGTGACCCCCACTGTCGTTTCACTACAGTGGGGTTTCAACGATACAGGGGGCCGGGGAGCGCGCAACAGGTCATTCAACGTATGACAAATCTAACCCAGAATTAAGTCGAGACTGAATACTGTGATGGGATCATGCGAAATGTGAACTCACAGAGTAAATGTTGCCATGGTAAAGTCCCAGTCTGCTTGGATATTTCCCAGTCATCAGGGCTGCCCTCGTAGGAGTACAAGTGGATTGAACGTAGTGCCTGTCCAGTATAATCCCTGTTTCTGCCAGGGAGTTAAGTGTCGGGGCTATCGTTAAAGCGTCGTGCCATGGCACATCCCCCCAACCTGGGAGAGTCATCTTTCATGGAAATTATAGGGCTAATCTTAAAAAATGTAAAGGTTAAACCCTTTAAAAATCCAGAATTTTATCATTTTTTCCCTGGCAACTCAGAAGAAATGAATGAGAAAGCCAGAGAAAGCTATTTGTTACTACTACTAGGGCATCCAGAGTTCACGTAGTGTCCGTTCAAATAAAGTCCGATAAGGCAACATGAAGATCAGATTGTTACAAGTGACAGTGGATTCAATACTTCTGTATGGCACAAAGGCACGATGTAGTCTATTCGTTCGTTTGTTTTCTACTTATCTCTCTATGAATATGATGTGTGAATGTAATCTTAATGAGAGCTGATTGCGAAGAATGATCACTACAAGTTGATTTTTAGTTGCCCTGTTAGCATAATCAGAGACTCTGAGAAGAAACAAGAGGTCCCCGTGGCGCCCGGTAACTCGTACTCCGTTTTTATATATATATATCTAGATTAATATAATAGAGTACGCTATTAATATATTGACCACATAACACATTCGACATGAAATGAAATGAAATAATGTGCAATGTATACCGGCCATATGGTTAGCAACTAACAGAAGTGTCAAGTAAATAACCATGTCAGAGCGGTTCTAAGAATCTAAAGGGTGAGGTGAAAACATTCAGCAACAAACAGCTAAATAATCTCAAAAAACAAATCTATTCTATCACTTTATAATTATGTCATATAGTAATCATAGTATAGGGATATTTATTGATACATAGTTATACCAAACTACGATTAACAATAAACCACCAGAAAACACTTCAAAGTTCAAAAGTATCATATAGGAATCATAGGAAGGTTTATTGATATATTATTACACACTGCACTGACATAATCACATACGACTAGGAACCTAGCACCGGTCTAGGGATTTGGCTGCTGGACCTGAAACGGTCAAATATCAATAGCTAGTATGAAGTCTTTATAGAAGAGTACTGATGTGTGTCCTATGATATATAATAGGATGTTGCTAAATGCTAAGGCCCTCAACTTGAACTGGAGAGAAAAAGCAATAAGGAAATGAAATCACAGCACTGTTCGTGGCTGTAGAGCATGGCTCTCAAAGACAGCAAAATCTAAAAATCTGTATCTCTGAATGAATAGTCTGCATTTGAAATACAAAATAGGTTCCATTTGGAGATTTTCAGCTGTTTTGGATGAAACTTATTATCCTATTTGGAATCACTGTATTAAGTAGAAGATTAATGAATTAATTCAAGTACAAGGCTATAATGATTTTTGGAAACGAAGGGAAACACACAACATAAGGCTTGAAATCTTCGTAAAACTGCATCATTATAAAGCTTCAAATTATTTTGTATGAAAGTATTAAATAATTCAAGTACTTTTCATGCGTGAAAAGGAAGCTCAGAGCACAGACTGAGTATGAGTTTGCAAGTGACACGCCCGTTAAAAGACGGTACCTCTCTGAATCCGCAGCTGACTCACAGGACCTCTTTGAGTCACCCCGCAAACTCGAGTGTATCAGAATTGACGACGAAGGGTACCATGACTGCTCTCCAGGTAGGAACACGCTGATCCATATTAAACAAGATTTCCTTAAAGATGATGAGATCGTCACGCCAGTCAATCTTGTCGCTGCTCTTGAAAATGCTCTCAATGAGAAATACCAATCAACCAGATTATTCGCGTCTGAAGTACACCTCCTTGAGCAACAAGCCCACAGCAAATGCATCAGCTTAACCTGGAACCTGTCAGACATAGAGGCTATTGAAAATGATGATAAGGCAGATATTCTGTCAAAATTGCTGGTTAAACTCAATCGTCATTACCACGACACAAACCTGGAATCGCCCTCCACTGCCTTTAACTCGCTCAGAGTTACTAGTCTACTTGGAAGGAGCGACAAGGTTCCTATCACACTACAGGGAGACGAAGAAGTCACTGATGCACTAGTGTTACTCCATTTAGGCCGTGAGCGTGCAGTTAACATCATACCAAAGAGATTCAACAACGACCTGATGGATGTCTTTGACCTATGCCTAGGCAACCTTACAGCCTTATCCGTCCTAGAAAAGACCAGAAGGGATATGAGCATTAGCCTGGCTATAGAAAAACCCCTCGAGGATGAACTAGATTTTCACTTACTAGTACAACTGCAACGCAAACGACACAGGACGCCAATTGTTCTCCAACCAGCTCCCGAAAACACCCTGACCCACTGTAGTCCCCTAACTGACGCAGTACAAGGGATAACTGGTTTAACAAGCAACGTCCCCGCCCCTGAACAACTTCATTGTGAGGGTGACAACGGAAGTCTGCCCGACTCACAAGATAAACAAGACGACACCACCATTGTTGAAAAACAACTGCGATTTTTCTCGAGAGATACCTGCGACAAGATTCTTAACAGTGCCTCGTCTAAGAATCTCAACAAGTGGATAGACCTTTGTGGCCTAACCAGTCAGAAAACAAACGAGCGAAGTCAAACTGCAATTAAAGCGTTTTTTAACCTTGTGATTGACAACAAATACAGCACGTACCCGTCAGCACCTCTCATAACTAGTCTGGTCGAGAAAATGGCAGTTGATTCGCTAGATCGAGAACTCAAAAGGTTTGAAATAAACTTCAACCCGCAAACTCCTGTTGACAATAAAAAGAAACTGCTGCGTGACCACGTCAACACTATTGGGCGCGAAGCTAGAAAGGCAAATCCTCCAGATCTCATTAACTCTGAGACTGACTCTGAGTCAATATCTTCTGAACTCAGCAATGCCTCTAGCAGAAAGGGCTACAAAAGCTGTAACTCGAACAACAGCTCCAGTAACAGTGCACAGGGCAAGACGCAGAATACAGAAAAGAAAGTAAAGATCAAAGTTAAGAAGACGAGGAAAGCAAGACAGATCTTAACCCCCGGCAAAATTAAGGTCCCTTGCAGCACTCACGAATCGATAGAAAACTCAATACGACTCCTTGAGCAGAACTTACTAGAATTCCAAGAAAAGCTAGCAAACCAAGATTCAGTTCTGTCCTCCTTAGCCAGTCAACTCAACTCCAGCGCCCCACTAACCAGCTCGAAATCTCTAGCCACGCTGGTCAACAAAAACAAAACAATATTTGATACCCTAAATATTCAGCAAAACTCTATCGACAATATCATGGACAGAATGATAGAAGGAGAAAAAGAACGGAAACGTATCCAAGACCAAGCTCACAGAGCAACGGCAGAAAAGGTTTTTCGATCCAAGACCCTTGAACTTGAAAAACAGATAGCTGATTCAGCCAAGGAGGTTAACTACTTAAAAAGTGAGCTCGCAAGAATGAAAAACAACGAGTCGAACCAATCCAATGAGATACGCATAATACAGGCTAGACACAGCGAAGAACTCAGCAAACTCAAATCCGATATCATGGGGATGAAGAGTGTACCCGGAAGTCATTCGAACGGGGTCAATTATCCCAACCAATATGATGGAGTTGATGAAAAATGTGCGATCCTAAGTCATTTGGAAAGTTTCAATAGACGCGCTACGAATAATTTAGGAGACAAGATTCTCCAAGGACAACGAGAAGGGTTTGAACTTATCAGCCGAGAGATTACAGCGTGTCTCAAAGATCTGCCTAAAATCAACACAGCAGGTCAAGAAGGTAACATCCAGTCTGCTAACAAACCTCGCGCTAATAGTTTTGAACCGAAACACCAAAACGATGCCGCCAACAAAACCCCCGAGGACCCCCTTACAAGACTAAACGACAAAAAACGCACGGCACCACACAAAGGAAAGAAAGAGAATATGCCGAGTCAAAAGGCTGAAGACCCAGTCACCTTTTTGTCCGAGGGAACCACTAAAAGCACGACAACTGCTGGTGCCAATAAACAAAGCAAAAATAACAGTGATGGCACCCCTGTTAACCGTGAAACGTACCGTCGTGACAACTTCAATCCTCAACATTGGCACACCCGGAAATGTGTAGTCATTCACGACGCACACTTCAATACCTTCGACGAATCAAGATTCACGAAACGTTTTGACGTCAAGAGGATAGAATATGATACTGCCGTATCAGCTAGCAGGGACCAAAACTTAGTCAAAAAAATCTCAGAAATCAACCCTGAAGCCATTTATATCCATCTAAGGCAACTTATTCTGATGAATACGCCAGGAAACACGATACTAGATGGTATGAAGAAAATCTTGGATGACCTAACAAAAGCAACCTCAGCAAAGAT